GTGACGAAAGTTATTTCGATTTTATTTCTAATTTCGAATGTGCTCTTATTGTAATTAACTGATGAATATTCCGCAGAATTTTATCAATTGCTGTTGTTGAATTCGTCTATCCGTCTGTTAAAAAATATATATATGCAGAAGAGGCGGGCCCATCGAGACGACATTGACAAGCGGATGAAGTTTCTTCTTCAGTGTGATTCAGATTGCATCATCGGTTCGGCTAATGAATTCGCGTAAAAGGATATACTTGCGAAATAGAATAGCGCAGTTTACACGGATCGTGTCTCCGCGTTGAATCTCTTTTAAATCTCTTGAATTACATTTATCCCGTTCAAAAAGTAAATGATCCTTTCGATTTTTTTTTTGTTGCTTTATCCATTTTTTTTTTCCAGTATGTTAAATATTACCAAATAATAACCAAATAATACGTAATTGAGGTATGAATCGGCAGCATGCATTCAAAATTTTGCACGGAGAATCCGACCAATTGCTCCACAAGCCCGTAATGCGAAAGTACAATTTGATAATTGCCGGGCCAGTTAAGATTAATTCTTAAGGCCAACCTCCAGAAATGTTCCACGTTAGCCTCGATATTCGATAAAAAAAAAAAAAACTAATCTTTATATCTCATCGTTTTGAAAATATTATTATTAATTCTCCAAAGAAAGAAAGAAGTAATAAAGAATATTACTATTACTATTACTATTAGCAAAATTTTGTAACAGAATGATCAGGCTAGAAGGCATGAAGTCGAAAGGGCGACGATGTATCTCCCGGCAAGGTCATCGACAATCGAGCAACAAGACTTTCAAGAATGATCAACAGCTCTCTTGCAGCAGGCCTACTTAGCACGACGAGGTCGTTCGCAAAGATTCAATCAAATCAAAACGAAGATTACCGACCCTTGTGATGGATAAATATATCGATGCTCTTCACCTCGTTTTCCAATTCGCGAAACAAACGGAAAGAATCTTCGGGTCGAGACGAGCCGAGCGAGTTTTCGCAGTTACTGTACACAAAGGAGATCGCGTGTCGCTATTTAATGTTGTCCACGTTGTTACGTTGTTTGAAAACTAGAGATAATGGAAAAAATTAAAAAGAAACGAATAAGTTTATTTATATTAATTGAAATTGTGTAGAAGATTTTTAATTTTTTATTTCTCGTATTTCATTATATATTTAAGTAATATGTAATTTCGCGTGTCAGACAAGTTGACTGATTATTTAATTCGATTAGAATCAAACGTTACTCGCGCATGGCTGAATTAAGACGGAGCGAAACGTGTGCGGGGATATAATAACACAGCAAGGAGAAATCATTGCCAATCATCGTGCTTTCCTGTACACTCGCCATGCACGTACCTTTAAACGCTTGGCGCTTTACTAATCACGATTGGTAAATAACGTTTATTGTTTATTGAAAATCAAATATAAAAAGTTTCAAAGATTTAATTTCGACAAATTATGATATATTTTAGAGAAAGAGAAAAAAAAAAAATTTGAAAAAAATTTGAAGAATTTTTTTTCCATTTAAATTTTACAGTTTATGAAATGAAATCTTATAGAATGGATTATTTCTTGATAACAAATAAAAAAAAAAAGAAAAATCAGAATTTTATAAATATACGTGGTATGTTATATTGAATATTTATTTTCATAAACATAAGTTATTTATGATGATATATATATATTATAATGATATATATATATATTATATATTAATATATATATATATATTTATTAATAGATAATTTTAATCATTTATGGCCTTCAGCCTTTCACATATCTGAAAACTTTATAAAAAGTTATGTTGCACAATTGTTGTTTCATACAGATTATTCATATCTGTTAATACCAAGAATATTAAGTATCGATTAACTATTATAATCAATCTATTTTACATTTTAAATATGTAAATATCTTAAACTTAAGATTGAAGAGGACAATTTAAATAGTTCAAATGATTCAATTTATGCAACTATGTAACTTGACTTAAATAAGTGACTTAAATAACATTGTGTAACATAAGCAACTGGAAGAACTTGTGTTTATATAATGTTTAGCAACTTCTCAACTTACAATTAATTACTTAATCAATTGTGATATTGTTAAAAACATTTTTCAAATAGCATCGTTATTACAATATTGTAAGAATATTATACACAGGACAATTTAACATTTTCTGTATATATAAAATCTCAATCAATCAACAGCGCTCATGCTTCTTAATTTTACACTCAATTGAATACACATATAAAATTCATCTCTTTACTTTCACACAGTGTAGTCAATGCCGACACGTTTACATATGGAAATTGATACATCTTGCGTGGAAAAGAACAACTATATACATACATATGCATTTAAAGAAACCCATAAATATATTATCACAAGTATCATAAGTTAAGATGAAAATTTCAAAATAAATACATACATCGCAAAAAGTGAAAAAGAGCCGGATGTTTAATTACTATTATTTCTTTTTAGAAATACAATATACACAATTCTGTTCTATTTTTTTTTTTTCTTTCTAACAACCGAGTCGCCCAGCCGATTGTCATAAACTAGTCAAACTGATCAAATTATCAAACTCGTTAACACCGTTAAGGGATTAACTCTCGTAATTAACCCCTTGAAAAAGCGAATCATCTCTTTTCGGTAGCTTCTGAGAATTTTTTTTTTCTTTTTTCCATTGATAATTTACTTGCATCGTGAGACCTCGTGCATCCAACATGTTATGCTAAATATCACGTATTCGCTTCATTTGCAATTCATTTGTACATTACATCTGTACATTTTGTACATGATGTAATAGTAAAAAAATCTACATTTTCCGATCCTAGAAGAGCTAATCTTAGTTATTACCTTTATTCAATCTTTTTTTGTATATGTGGTAAATAATGAATACTTTTAAAATTAGAAAAATATTTTTTCTTTTAAAATATCATTCTTTTTTTCTAACTATATATATAGTAAATAATGAATACTTTTAAAATTAGAAAAATATTTTTTTTTTTAAAATATCACTCTTTTTTTCCAACTATATATATATATATATGTGTGTGTGTGTGTGTGTGTGTTATTTTTAGGTCACCGTTATCAGGATCGGACACACAATGCAAAATTACCGAACGAACCTCGTATTATCCTCAGGAGCCAAATAAAAGGCCGCAAACCAGGCAAGAGAAGGTTCGATCGTGTCTCAAGCACAATTCGTTGACGATATTGACTGTGACCGGTGTATTCGGCGGTGTGGTTCTCGGTATTATCTTGAGGAGCTTGCGAACTCAAGGATGGACGCCACGCGAGATCATGTACATCAATTACATAGGAGATCTGTTTCTCAGAATGCTGAAGAGTTTGATTTTACCTCTTATCATATCCAGTCTAGTCTCAGCAATTGGATCCCTTGATCTGTCATTGAGCGGGAAAATTGGTGTTCGTGCTATAGTGTATTACATGGTCACCACGATTAGCGCTGTTGTACTAGGTCGGTCAAGATCGAGACATCTTTCCTTTCACTTATTTTCTAAAAGTAAAAGATAAACAATAGATCATTTTTTATTGATATTCATTTTTATTGATAACGATTTCAGGTATCATTTTGGTAATCACTATCCAGCCGGGTGTGGGAAATAATCCTGACATAAGGACAAAAGAACGATCTCAAAATGTCTCGACTATCGATACATTGATGGACTTGATTCGGAATATGTTTCCCCCGAATTTAGTAGAGGCATGTATCTCTCAACATAAAACGGAAATGCAGAAACCGGAAAACAGTACATCAGGTCCAAAATCTTTTTTTAAAAAAATCTTATATACATTTCATAAGAAAAAAAAAAAAAAAAAAAAAAAAAAAAAAAAAGAAAAAAAAGAAAAGAAAAAAAAAGAAATATAATTTTCGTTGTGTTAACGAAAATTATAGCGACATAATATCAATGTATCCTTCGTTGAAGCAGATAACATGGACGAGTGGAAGCCAGTGTCAAAAAGCGTGTCAGGAACCAATATAATGGGTCTCGTCGTTTTCGCCACGGTGCTTGGTATAACATTGGGAAAAATGGAAGAACAAGGAAAACCGTTGCTCGTATTCTTCGAGTCCTTGTCTGGCGCTATGATGATGATCACTCATTGGGTGATTTGGTAAATTCACATTTGATGAAATTTATCTTATTAAAGGTATCCTAACCTCAAATCTTTCGCGCAATACGTAATTTTCAAATAATAGTCATCATCGATCTTAATAAAGAATAGAATTTTCTTACAATTCTTTATTCATTGATAATGAAATTTCACTGTTCAGGTTGTCGCCTATTGGTGTACTGTTTCTAGTAGCCGCTAAAATTACGGAAATGCAATCGTTGGACGAAATAGTTTCCCAATTGGGAATGTACTTTCTCACCGTATTGATAGGCCTGTTGATACACGGTTTCATCGTTCTGCCTCTATTATATTTTCTAATAACGAAGAGAAATCCATACGTATACATATCCAATTTGGCCCAAGCGTTGGTCACAGCGTTTGGTACGTCCTCAAGCTCCGCTACTCTTCCAATTGCTATTAATTGTTTGGAAGAAGGAAACAATGTCGATCCACGAATTACCAGATTCGTTTTGCCGATCGGCGCCACTATCAATATGGATGGCACGGCTTTATACGAAGCTGTGGCCGCGATTTTCATCGCGCAAGTGCGTCAAGTCAGTCTTAGTTTTGGACAGCTGGTGGCAATCAGGTAATGCGAATTAGAAGAAGAGGCGAAGATTCATATTTGTTTGTTTAATTAGGAAGCATTGCATTTTATATTGAAGTCTTTGTTCAGTATCACAGCGACTGCGGCAAGTATCGGAGCAGCTGGAATTCCACAAGCAGGTCTGGTTACGATGGTAATGGTATTGGATACAGTTCGCCTACCGTCCGAAGACGTATTCCTTGTCATTGCTGTTGATTGGTTATTGTAAGCATTCTCTTTATTATATGCTCGTTTTTAAAAAAATATTTATCTATTAATCTATTTGTTTGGATTTCCAGAGATCGTTGTAGAACAACAGTGAACGTAGTAGGTGATTCTCTCGGGGCAGGAATTGTGAATTATTTAAGCAGAAACGAACTTGCTTCGTTGCCACATAATGCACAGACGCAAAACGGAGCAGATCATCATACTACAACATCCATATGAAACCGAAGTCGATATTATTATCGGCAAGATTTGTAAATGCTAACAAACAAACGAAGAACGATGAGCGTTCGTCCCCCCCCCCCTCCGATATTTTTCCCGGTAAACGTCGTACACTCCCACCGAACTTTAAATTTGAAAGCGAAGACGAAGTTCAGTACAAATATAATAATAAAATTCTTCGCAATCAATGATGCATATAATAGCAAATAATAATATATCTATTATATTTTATTCTATTCTAGTAGTCAGTCTTCAAAAAGAGACTTTAATGATTCTTATACAATATTATTAGAAGAATTGAAGCAATATTTTTTTGTATTTAACTATGCTGCTGCCAGATTCGTTCAATTAGAGTACAAAAAATAATCAAATGACACGATCATGTTTTAATGGTCATTTTTCGTTGATTTTAATAATAAGTTACAAGATCCAATTGAAATGATACGAAAAAATACAAGAGTTGAAAGATTTGAAGATTTGATTTTGTTAAGTTCATTTAAATATGTAAAAAAAAAAAAAAAAAAAAAAAAAAAAAAAAAAAAAAAAAAAAA